AAACTATTATCCTTAAGAAAGGTTCCTGGAACTGCCTTGCTCACACCAATTGCATCTACAACTCTCTGCATACAACAATAACATTTTATTAGTTCTGTTAGTTGACTGTTAACTCTATTAATTAACTGTTAGTTGACTGTTAGCTTACAAAAATCTTCTTTCAATTAACAAAACTAATTTTATAATATTTCGTTAATTTTATTAATTAACTATTAGTTGATTGTTAGTTGACTGTTAGTTGACAAAAATCTACTTTCAACTAATAGAGTTAACAATAAATATAAAGTGAGGACTATTTCCTTCAATTTTAATAGGTGAGGGGTTAAAACCTATAAATCTAGTAAGGTGAGGTGCTAAAAGTGTCATAGTATAAGGTGATGGGTTAAAACCTTCAAACTTGATAAGGTAAGCAGTTAAAAGTAGATTTTTGCCTCACATCGTAGTACAATAGTCTGCCAAAAAATTTAAATGAATAACTTTCAACAATGTGCTTTACAATGCTAAATATCTCTATATATATTGAAAATTGCCAAGCACTCTTCGTTTCTACCATTTCTTCACCTCTAGTTTCTCTGCCGCCCTCTCCCATTTCTCCTGTCCAGTGCAGTGCCATTTCTCCGCCCTTCCCATCCATTTCTTCTCCCTTGTCCTCCATTACTCCTCCTTTTCTCCAACTTACACTAACGAATTTGATATTTAATTTTATGTTGAGTGTACAATATATTGTTATGAATTTGTCAACAACCATACTAATATTCTTTTGGTCTTTTCTTTTTTTTCTTTTTTTCTTTTTTTTCTGTCGGAAGGAGCATTATGTTATAAAGTATAGTATATGCACTAAACCAACATATATATATAAATTAATTGTTTAATGTATGGTGATTTATTTTTGAATTTACCATAATTCTACTTACTAACTTTTTAAATTTTCTATTTTTGAAGGTGAGAATTAATGAAAAAATAAGGTATTATTTAACAAATAGACAATATTATATATGAAGATGATTTTTTTAATGCCGTTAAATAAATTTTTTTGAATTATTAATTTCACCTTACTTACTAATTGAGTAATGATGTAATTTGTAGGTAAACGAACATTTGTTCGTAGTATATATGGAATGCTCGAGTGAAGATATTTATAAATATATAAAAAATATGTTAGTAATGTATATAAGGGTTTATGATGGATAAATATTGCCATTTATATTTTTTTTCCTATTTTCGTATTGTTTTTAGAAGGCAATAAAAATATACACGATTTTATATGGAATGAATGTCATAGAAATTTTGTTAAAATGTAAATTGACTCGGTGTTAGTGGTGATGGGGTTGTAGAAATTGTAAATGTGAAAAATAATGATGTTTAGATAAATGTGAACAAGAAATTCAAGATGGGGTTTAGGTAAATGTTAAAAAGATAAAAAAAAGATGGTGTTTAGGTAAATGTGAGAAATAATTAATGGGAGGAAGTATTTTTGTTGTGTAATATATATATATATATATATATTGTCAATCTTAGGACTAAAGCATAGTGATGCATGTCGATGATGTTAAATTTTTTTTTTTTTTTGTTTAGAGCAACAAAATACCATTATAACCCACATCGGTGTAGGTAGGCGGCAATTTAAAAAATAAAAAATAAAAATCATACATAGCTTTGTGGAGTCCGTTGCTGATGTATGTTGATGGTTTTTGTGCTGCAAATATTCGGCATGGTATCCCACGTTGCTGAAAATTACTTTCACTGACGTAGAGTATGTTGCTGTTTATTGTGCAGGTTACCGGTTACAAATGTTCCACATAGCATTTCACGTCGGTGAAAGAGGTTACTGGTTAGAAATATTCAACATGGCATTTTCACGTCGGCGAAATTAATGTGGCTTTCATTAATGTGAATTACAATGTTGTATAGAGCCAAGAATTTCAGCGACTGGTCCAATGACAATGTGACAGCAATGTGTTACACGTCAGTGATGTGTAGAGTATTAATAACATAGCTTCTGCTTTCGTTGCTGATACTTCTACTAAGGGAGGTATTATTGACAAAGAAGTCAATGACGTGGGAGACGTTGCTGCCCCACTTTCAGCAACGCAATACAGGCT